ATTGTATTCGAAATTGTACAAAACTAAATCTTTATTGTATATACCAATTAAAATATCTGGAATTTTTGACTGCTTGTGTTCATATTTGGAATCTAAATTACATTGACAAGGCAGATCCATCCCCCTTTAAGGTGTCCTGTTATTGTTTTACTTTCAAATCGTCCCCGTATGGTGATGGCATATCTGGGTTCGACACATCGTATCCAAAGCCCGTATTCTGGATACGAGAATAAGATACACTGTGTGTAAATCTGTTTAGAATAGTCCCTGAATTTGCACCGATATCTTCGGTTATCATTGCAAGTGGACTGATTGTGTTTCGAATAGTCCCCTTAAATGATTGGGTATCTTTGTTCAACACAACGGCAATATCTGTAAAATAATTACACCACAGCATGTTTTGAATCTAACACCAGATAAAGGAGAGAGTAATGTAGTAACCGGGTAATTTTATCAACTAGTTTATATAATATTACTAATTATAAACAATATCTATAGAAATAATAAATATTATTAACATAGATCAAAGAGACCGCCGTCGATATCGCCCGGTATATATAACACCTTTATGAACGTTGTACTACTCAGTAACTTTACACACGTCTGTTTTCATTTCGTTTCGTAATAAAAGATTATTAGGTAAATCTAATACGATGGTAGAGCTTCTTGTTCAAGGGATCTTGACCTCTTAAAAAATATACACATGGCGTTCCTCTCATATTCTCAGACTCGTAGACCCCGCCCCCCCCCCCCCCACTCCAGTTCATTCCATTTCGACTGAATTATGACGAAACGTTAGTGATTATCACCGATAAATTTTCAGACAGGAACCTGCGATCAGAGGAAGAGATGCCAAGACAATCCTGACTAATGGAAACCAGGAATCCAGAAGATGATCTTCAAAGTAATGAAACGGAAGATAAAACGATACGGAAATATCTTTCTTACCTTTATCACTATTTCTCTTTAATCTGTAGCTGTTTTGTCCGAATATCTAAAATATGTTTTGTCGTCATTGTCTGAAACTAATTCCCCATAAAATTTGGCACCAGATGAAAAATATTGAAAATCCGGAATCTGTTAATATTTTCCTTTCATCTCTTTGTAAATTACTTGATGATGATTATTTATTTACCTGGTAAAGATCAAAGGGAAAATAAAAGCCCGCATCACTCTTAATTTAAGATAATTCAAGAAGAGTTTCCTTATATTATGTATAAATTCCAGTAACCAGACAATGTTTCCTTTCCTCCAGTCTGTAGTATCTTTCTGGAGTAAGTCGCAATCTTTATATTATACAGCATTGACTTAAAGGGATTGTAAATTGGTTTTCTTAACATTTTATGTGTATTTAGACCATTGTGACTTTCCAAGTAGTTCCTGTAATTATAGAAGTGCTGAACCGTATAAGACGTCAGTATCGAAAAGGGATAAATTAATACGCTTTGGTTAGTTGAATTGCAAGAACCACAGACATTTGACTTAAATGGTGTATATACATTCTTTCAGTGAATGAAACATAAAAAGTGTGGAACTGTGTGTGTTTCAGGCGATCCAGCCATTAACTTTAAAGCAACCATTCTAGGATTGATTTACTGTTTTGATTCAAAGAAAGGCCATTTAATATTTCAAATAATACAGATTGCAGCAGACGGGGGTATGGTTCAATGTCCCATCTGACCGACAAGACGCTTTTTCCATCTCAGTTCCTTCGACCTCCATCACTGACAGGCTAAAACCGGTTTGAAAAATCGGAAGAAAAATCTATGTTTTAAGTTAGAAAATGATTGTGAATAATGAAAAGTGGAAGTGGCTTGTTGTTATCTGCTGTACTCTCTAATTACTACAGATACAGAGGAAATTTTAACCTATTTCTAATACAATTAACCTTCAGAAACACCATTAATGTCTTACAGATACATCTCTATAGATAAAGTGTTTCAATTACTAGAATTCTTTCTTTATACGTTTTATTGCTGTAGTATCTACATGTTATAATATATTCAATTTGAAGTATTTAATTTGGTAAGCCAAATCTGATTAGAATAATATCTTGATGTTTCGTTCTGTTTTTATTTTACAGTTGATGACTCAGCGTTACGAACATTCGGCAATCCTCGACAGTTTCCGTAAAGCTGGTTCTAAAGAATAGTTGTGTATTCCTTGGTGAGCTTTTGTGGAAGTTCCACAATTGATCGTTTGAGTTGCTGTTCGATATTCAAAACCAGTACTCCAAAATTTATTCGGCTCCTAAACTTAAAAAAAAGAGATCCCGAAAGATATTATTGAACATTACTGAAGTTGGACCAAAATTCCATTGTAGATATTACAGATCTTCAACACCTTTCAGGCAAGCCTTCTCAGAACACATTTGATAAGCTAATAGATGAGTTGATTCAAATAATAACATATCCCAGTAGGTTACTAACAGGTGAAAGACATACTGAATGTGTCATAAGAGTTCTGTTATGAAATAGAATCAGGAGGGTTTTACCAGAGAATTTCACCTTGAGCGTCTGTTATAGTATTTGTATATCAGAATCTACACTGTTTATATAGTCAATATGGCGTAGCAGCTGGTAGCTTTCATGGTGCGAACTTAGTCTGTTCTTAAATACCTCAATGAATGAATGACATTATACAAAATACCATTCAAACGGATATGATATGCGTTTTACAGTTGATAAAGAGTTATTTCAGTTATCCAATAAGAATTCGGAGAATGAAAATCTGATTCATTCGAAACATCCGTTATTATCCTTTTGAAAAGGTTTCTAAGATTCAGTTAAATACACTGTTCAAGTACGTCTGTATAATATCACAGTCATGTTCTACATATAACGTTAAAAATCAGATTATATCCCGATTTCTGCGTTAAGGCATTTAAAACAGAGATGATCTGTTGAAATGATGTATCCAGGTCCGAGGCAATTTGGACCCATTTCAGGTACACAATTCTTCCGACTTCGTTTGCGACTATAATGTAACGCATTAACACAAATTTGTCAACATAAGCAGTCAAAAATTGAGCAAATTAAACTCCAAAGAATGCAAATGACATAATGCGATTCTTAGCGAGTAGAAACTGAGTAAAAATCATACAGTTTGTTATTTTTTGTATATCTCATTCTTAATCTGTCATCCACCACTTACAGATATTATTACCGCTGTAATGATAGAGTATCTGTCTGTTATCTAGAATATATTAACTGTTAATATAACAGAGGTATTGAAAATATGTTGACAGAAAAATCAGATTTAAATCAGAGTGTTGAAATATGGAAGGTAACTCCTTGGTCCCGTTTCACAAAAATCGTACGATCAATTTTTATCAATGGTATGGTATAACACAAATTAAAATACCAATTTTTAAGAATTTTGAAAGAACGGGGTCTTCGCTCATGGGGTTTAGTAATCAAATTATGCAATGATTGGCATAGCTCTGTTTTTTTCATGTTACACAGGGAGCGGACGTCAAAACTGATACTGGTAGTTGAAATTAAATTATGTGTATAGACGTCTACATTTGCACATGGTAAAATGAAAGTACATTTCAGGCATATTTAACCACTTTCACCAACCCTACTGAACACCTGATACCAGTACATATAATTAGAAATGCAAAACTAGTAGCTTTTATTGATTATCCATTTTAGTTTTTGTTTTGTTCCTTGGAATTCGAAAGTGCTAAAAAGCTGTACGATGATGCGCTATATACATGCATATTAAATACAATTTCTTTACATAAAAATCTACAAGATAACGTCATAGGTCTATCAACAAAGTTAGATTTCACTTCACATAAAATCTGAGAATGAACCAATCCACACTTGATTATTGTACGTAGATTAGATATTTCAATGATAAATTAGAGTAAAGCTTTCAGTTTCACAAAAACTGAGAAAAATGGAGTGAATCTATTTTGAGTTTAACAAAGGATTATTTTTACAATGTTGGAATGTGCCATTAGAAAAATAGAACAAGTAACATTTTGACATTTGAGTAAAAAACAGTAAACCTTCCATCTGCTATGTGTCTACTATGTTTACCAGTTTTAAGTTGGACCAAATGAATGATTCACAGTCTAAATTGGAATCATATGTTTGCCATTAAAATTCTTTCATATAAGTTGAAATGCATTAACGGTGTGCATTTAGTTGCATTACAATTACTCCTTCCTTAAATAAATACAATATCAAATCATTGAAGAGATATTATAGTCACCTAGCTTTACCAGTTGATAACGTCCTAACTGTATCATTGTTCAGCACGTAAATGATTTCAAGTTCTTTTAGCAATTAAATGCCAACATACCAAGAGGACGAGACGGAGATTCAATGAATGTGTCCAGGAGTCCCAGATGGGAGAATAAGTTTAAACGGTGAGCTATCGGGACTCCTAAACTATCATTGTACAAAGATTATGCAAAAATGATATTGCACCCTACCCTATATCAGGCCCGTTGCCTAATAATCAATATATCTGGGGGGGGGGGGGGGGGCAATGGTCGATTGCCCATCTGTATCTACGGGCCTGCCCTATGACCAAATAGTTGGTGGTTACCTGCATAGGTTGCGCTTTAATACCAAATAATCTGGGTAGCATATGTAAGGGGACTTCCTTAAGTAGAATTTAGCATTTGACTATAATGAATAATACACATTATGGATAACAATTACTATTTAATAATATTGCAACATCATATTCTTGATAAAGACAAGAGAAACATCGTCGAAACGTTTCAATATTATTAAACAGTAATTGTTATCCAAGTGTATTATTCAATATAAGGGGAGGCAACTACAAAACTCTTTAGAAAAAGATGGACAAGGTTTGCTTAATAATAACTTTGATAGATTCTAGACAACAATGAAATTAACTTTATCAATCACTTTTTACTATTCAAAGTGAAATTAGACGGGACATACCAAAATGAAACTTTGGAAAAAAACAAGGAAAATGGCCGATATGCTTAAAAGCAGCTGCTGCTCCGTTCTATTAATCGGGGATAAAGAAAACATAAATGGCTAATTACCAGACTGTTGTTGTATGTTGAGTCCTATTGTGACGTCGACAATTAACAATTATCACAATAAGTTGTAAAAATAAAGGATACCCAAATGAATGTAAACAGCGGATCAAGTAGTGTTTTAGACACAGAAGTGGACGAACAGAAGAAAGATGGCGTTATACAGAAGAAGTTCAGCATGCAGGCGTGTAATGTTCTTGCGGAGCTTCGACGGGCTGGGGATTTTTGTGATGCTGTGATTAAAGTTCAAAGTAAATGTTTCCCGGTTCATAGAAATATATTATCTGCATGTAGCCCTTACTTCAGGGCTTTATTTAAGAATCAGGAAGGTAACAATAAACGTATTGAAGTAACCATACCCGGGGTTTCACCCGGAATAATGAACGAACTGATCGAGTATGCCTATACCAGGGATATTAAAATAAACCCTGAGAATGTCGAAGAACTGCTACCTGCGGCTGAACAGTTCCATGTCACAGGTTTGGTAAAAGCGTGTTGTGGTTTTCTCATTGATCAGTTAGCTCCAGAGAACTGTATCGGGATTCGAGCATTTGCAAAGGCTTACTTTTGTCACACCTTAGAAAGAACAGCCCTGAAATACATTTTACAGAATTTCAGCTCTCTTCTTCAAAGCAGCAATGAATTTTTACAACTCAACGTTGACGAAATTGCGGAAATTTTGAATTCTGATAATTTGAACGTTAAAAATGAAGAACTTGTTTTTGATGCTGTACTTCGTTGGATAGATTATGATCCAGAAAGAAGACGCTGCCATATCGCAAAACTTTTAAAAAGTATTCGATTAGGTCTCTTAAGGACACAGTATTTCGTTGAAAAAGTGAAAGCACACCCTTATGTGAAAGAGAGTGCAGCTTGTAAACCGATCATTATAGAAACATTGAAATTTCTGTACGATTTGGACATGGATCTTGAGAGAGAAGTGGATTTAAATCATCCCTTGGCTAAGCCACGAGTACCTCACGAGGTTCTGTTTGTTATTGGAGGATGGAGTGGCGGATCCCCGACTACGATGGTAGAAACGTATGATACTCGGGCAGATAGATGGATTGTATGTAAAGCTGTAGATAAAGTGGCGAGGGCGTATCACGGTACTGTTGCGTATGATATGCGTATTTACGTCATCGGTGGTTTTGATGGGGTAGACTATTTCAACAGTGTGAGATGTTTCAACCCTGCAACTCAAATATGGTCCGAAGTTTCACCAATGAATTGCAAAAGATGTTATGTCAGTGTGGCTGTTTTAGAACCGTATATTTACGCTATGGGCGGATACAATGGCCACGATCGACAATATTCAGCTGAAAGATATTCCAAGCAAAGAAACCAATGGAGTTTAATACAATCGATGAATGTACCAAGGAGCGATGCTAGTGCTACTGATTTAGAGGGTAAGACTATAAGAAATAACCCAATAATATCTCACGTGCTTTTCTGTTGGTGATTCCACTTGTTATCCATGCTCTGAAGTAATTTGTTTTATATCTATTGTTCTGTGTCATTAAATATTCAACCAATCAATCGAAGCTCTGTAGCGGATCTTAAACAAGTGCTAATGTGATATGAAATTTGAGTTGTCAGATTACAAATTCGTTTTTATTCGTACGAAAAATACGAAACAATAGAAACATTGCTTACAGTTCGATGTAGTGAAAAATTTAAAATTTATATTTCCTATGAATTAATTTCCAGGGAAGATTTATATCTGTGGTGGATTCAATGGTCAAGAATGTGTAAATACCGCTGAATATTACGATCCAGAATCTAACCAGTGGACATTGCTACGGCCAATGAGAAACAAACGTAGTGGAGTTGGTGTTATAGCATATCGTGGACATCTGTACGCTCTTGGTGGTTTCAATGGTGTATCCCGTATGAATACTGGAGAACGATTCAGCTTAACCACCAACTCATGGCAGACCATCCCAGAAATGTATTGTCCAAGAAGCAATTTCGCTATTGAGATCATCGACGAAATGATATTCGCTATCGGAGGTTTTAATGGTGTGACTACTATATTTAATGTAGAATGTTATGATTCGGTGGCCGATGAATGGTACGACGCTACAGATATGAATGTATATCGCAGTGGTCTCAGTGCCTGTGTTATACGAGGATTGTCAAATGTTCAAGATTTCATACAGCAAGGTCGGGAATAGAGACAAAACACCAACAGTATACTAATCCTGGGAGATGTATTTTTTTAGAATTCATTAACATAAAAAAAAACCAAAACAGTTCCTATGTATAGCCAGAGGATGGCCCCCAATTAATATGGTCGGATAGATACTTCTATTATAAATGATGTTATATATTTATACAATTTTGAAAGCAGCTTCCTTCAATCTCATCTTCATTTTCAACACATGAATTTATAATTATTTAAGAAAAAAAAATGTCACCGGATCAAAGTTTCAAGTGTGTTAACTGTACGGTTGTATATATTTAGAGAGCGTGGCCAATCAAATTGTCATATATGATATATAAAAAAGATTACTACTATAAATGGTAATGAATTATTGAATCACTATATACAATAACAAACAAAACATTTCACTTTCCTACAATAGTGCTCAAAACATCGATTGTAGATCGATATAGAGATATTAAAACAGCTATATTACAGACCTATCATACATGGTTTCATCTTCGTTAAGGTACGAATAGTTAGTTTTCTTACACGTAAACAGATACAGTCGTCTACATATAAGTTTAACCACTTGATAGAGCTCAATATCACCTATACCTACAAGTTTTCAGGACGAAAATTCCACGCCCGGTTTGTCAGAAAATGCAGCATTAGAAATGACAATACTCAAAGTTTCAAAAGTGTTAAATGATATCGATAGCTGAAACCAGCTTCATCATACAGCCAGGCAATTATGTGGGTGACATTATCCTTTATGCTGAGTTTATTTTTCTGTCTCCAAAGTGTGATGATTAATGTTTAATTTTGAATTTTGATCTTCCGTATTTAAATCAATGGTGTTATCTTCAACTGTACTTCTTCCATCATTTGACGATTCTTCTGTATTTTCCTTTGGGTCATTAACTATATCGACATCTTTCGGAGTACTATTAGCATCTTTTGGGTCTTTACTTGCATCGATTTTGGATCTATTATCATAGGTTGTGGTAGCAGTTTCAGCACAAGCTGGAGAAGTATTGGCGTCTATTGAAACATTTTCTGCATCAGCATCGCCTTGTGCATGATTATTATAGTCTGGCTTTTGTTTCTTTTTTTTACCTTTCTTGTCTTTTTCGTTTTCACTCTGCGATTTCTTTAATTTTTCGGGAATAAAGTCAACGATCAATCCCCTGTACATATTCATTAAAACGTCCACGACACCGTAGGGTTGTTCCTCGCTACACACTTCATTACGAACGGTTGTTATTCCAGAGTTCAAAATAGCTTGAAACATTGTTAATAGTATAAATATCACATAAAACACAAATAAACTGAAAAATAATGCACCCAAAATCGGTGCAACGACCAACATTTGTTGTAGATGATTTTTACCCAAAAGATAGGTAAAGCAAGTGAACAAGGCATCATACAGAGTCTTGAATTCTGCAATGTTACTATGGAACAGAATATACCCACTGGAAATGAATCCAAAGAACATGAGAATAAACAGAACCCCAAAACTTCCCAAGTTTTTAGCCGAACGTTTCAAGACTAAAGCAATAATTGTTATTTTTTTGTTGTAACCTAAAACTCGCATCATCCCAATGGTCGTGAAGAATAACAAGAAGGCAAGAGCGTATAAAAACATAGAGTCGAACCAAACGATGTGCTCGAAGTTCACAAAGCTTTTAGGATCTTCGCGGAATAACGACAATGTCTGTTCTAAAAAGACTTCTTTCAGTATGAATATGATGACTCCAAATAAGGTAATGATAACAGTCAAAATGTCCATAATGTGCCAAAAATCCTGAAAGTATTGGCATCGCTGTTTAACTATAGATTTAATTGCCTTGACCAAAGTTACTATCATAACGATTGCTACAATGATCTCACAGACAATGACCATTATTCCCATAGAAGTAACATGTTGGAATATCCTTATAGCGTTTATATGGTGCCACGTGACAGCACTACCGTATTCAGGAAACTCGGCGATTAATTGTACCACCATCAGCAAATTTGCATCAGCATTGAACAACGAAAACTCGACTGAAACGGCTCTGGTTTGTCTATCAATCCATAGATTGTTATAAAGCTCGGTGAACATTGCCACAGATGAATCATAGTTTATATCCATATCGAAGAAGTATCCACTGGCACCATATAATGATATCTTTCCGATAAGGGGCAGCCCCCAATCCTGATTGGAGGATGTATAGACCCACGACGGTGACGTTTGAGCACTAGATATTTCTTCCAGACTACACGGTTTTGGTTTCCAATATAAACAATATTCACCGGTTTCTTCATATTCCGGCGACAATGACCCGTAATAAGTCCGATTATCTAACAAATTGTAGAATCTATCACCAAAGAAGTTATCATTATCTGGTGGTGGTCCTAAAAAATAATTTTTAGAATACAGTCAAGGATATCTCCACTCTTTACGATGGACATATTGACGGCATACCTTATAATTTGTGTAGACTACTGTAGACTGAAGACCGAAGTAATTACTAAACGTCTTTGAATCCTAATAGAGAGAATCTCTTCCTCAGAGCAAATTTCCTGAAGTAATTTCAAAAACTGGTGTGCAAGCCTTATCAAATAATCGTTGCGTAAAAAAATACTGATGCATTTAGAAATACTTACTATCCTTTATTCGAATTTGGCGTATTCTAACTGGTCCAACTCGAAAACTAACCAAATCAAAAAAGTACAGTTTTCGTCTCCAATCTAAGACATCTCCGTTAAAGTCATAAGTTGCAAATGCGAATGGAAACAGGTTCTTTTCTGTCCATGCCATAAAATGGGTTCTATTCTGAATCTATAAAATATAGAAAGACAAAAAGAATAAGCTTAGAGATTTGTCAGATTCAATAGAATATGTCTTGCCCCTTTAGTTTAACTGCAACAAATTCTCTATGCCTGCTTCAAACAGTATCTTAAAGAACTCAATATACAAGTTTTGCTTTTAATGTGCTAGACTACATCGTTTAGAAGCAAAGTCACATATCAGGCCGGGCGTTGGTTCCATTTACAAATAAGCATGCAACATCCAGGAGTGGGTTTTATTTATCATTGATAAACTATATTCACAACGGGATAAGGTTTATATCAAAACGAACATTCGATCTGAAGACTGGCTACTGGCAAATATGAGAAAATGACGTTAAATATAGATAAACGTCATTGGCTAACATACTTACTCATACAGCTATTCTAGAAGGTTGAACATGGCCCGAATCGCAAGCATTCGCCACAGTTAAAGTGGAAGATTTAGATTCACAAACATGATTGTGATATTTATTGTTTGTGTGCCAATGAGTATGAATTAGTCACTTACCTTATCAAATCTGTTAGTATAAAGGTGTGTTTTAATGTGTTCAGTAAAGTTATAAGACAGTGGATCTCTGGTACCATAAGCTATAACACAGAGAGCGATAATAAACCCTGTATATATCACTATCTCGATCAGAACAGAGTAGGCGTGTGTTTCTTGTTCTTGTCGTCTTCGAGCTCGTACTAAAACATCTTCTGGTAATGGTTCGGGTGGTTTCAGTTGGCCACCTTAAATATCAAGAGTATTTTATAATCAATTTTAATTTTTTGATAGAACAATGATAGAACTTAAAAGCACCAGTTTGGTTTACCAGTTGGGGAGATCTTAAATCTTTTCATTATGAAATAATTTTTCATTTCTGATCGATATTCCTCACGTGATAAGCTCAGTGTCTTGCAAACATTTTGTTTTGGATGTCATACCTTGGTCGAATTTAATATTCTTCCGTGCTCCATCTTTCACTATTTCTACATCTAATTTATCTTGTTTAGAATACGGACTTTTCATCAATACAGAGAATACTATAGCAAATACTGCAATCTGAAAGATAGAATAGCACATGTACAATAGCAGATAGAGGCTGGGGTGGGATTCATATTAATCTTCGTACATTGACCACTTTCTCATTCATATTTGAATCATTTGACAGATGATTGGTATTAGGTACAATGCCACAAATTGTATAACCATGAATGACTCCCGCCAAGGTGACTCAAAACTGATCACGGGGCGGAGGTGCATATTTTGTTTAAATTATGCTGAAAATGATAAAATGAGACAAAAAATAATTGGCTCACCTTTAAAGGATCAGTCAGAAAAATATTTTCAAAAAATGATAAAAAGAAAGATGTAACCCATTCTTCAGACACTGATTTTCCCCATTGCATACTGTATAGGATCAGAAGGAAGCCACAAACTAGAATGGTCACAGTAAGTAATATCCACGAAATGTACAGACACCAGAATGGTAGTGGTTTTTCTTGATCCATTTCGTCAAGGACATTTTTCTCTAGGCTTTCAAGGACCTCATTCAAATTATCTCTTTTATTAGATTTATCAGCATCACGGATCAGTTCTGATTGATCTAATTCTCCCTTTTCTGCCTTATCAACATCACCAATGTCCTTGTCCACTCCACTGCCACTGTTCAAGCTGATTTCCTCGACCTCAGTTTCCTCCGAATCCACTGGCTTCAAATCCAATCCATTTCCTTCTTTACTGTCAGCAGTATACTCTGGTATAATCATGTTCTTTGTTTTGGAAGTTTTGCTCTTTCGTCTCCTTGGTCTCGAATATCTGAAGAGGTATACTATAACCATTGATGGTGGAACGGTTATTAGGATGCTTACAAATGATACCCATATTGTATAGGCTGAAAACCGTAATGGTCCTAAAACCAGTTCATCTTTAACTGTTTCTTCGTCTGTATCGACATTGCTTGATCTACAAATTGAAAGGAAATGTATTACTATGTTCCGTCTTAATTGGAAACGCTTCATTCATTGTATTTCCTACAAATCCCTCCAATTTTAACATTTATAGCAGTGCACTATCATGTAAACCATAACTGGTACAGATAAGGACCCATAATTTCTAGGCAGATCTGTAAAATTATTTTTTAATAACGACTGGACATATTTAGGGGGTACTTCGCGATTATTTTGTCCAGGCACCATATTAAGACCAGAATACAGAAAGTTACCTACCTAAAGAACATGGCGCTTGTTATCATAGTTAAAAACAATATACAAATACAGCAGGACACCCTCTGGGCTCTGGTGAAGGTGCTCCTGTTCGGTCTGAATACCACAGACAACCACAGATGACTGTCGGTAGCATTATTTCGAGCATGTTCACTAAATAAATGGGTAAACGTCAGATCCTTTTTGGCTGAAATTGGAACTATTCTGTCTATTAAACCATCATCTTTCCCCACACTTAACCATCTATTACAGACAAATATACTCCTGGAAGAATAAGATGTCGTCTGTTGAAACAAAGAAAATGTCCCAATAAATACTTTAGCTCACTCAAAAAAAAGATAAATACAAGGCCGGAGCATACTGGAGGTAGATGAGACAAATGCCCCGCTTTGGAAGTGTCGTATATATATAACAGTATGCGAGTTTCGAGTTTTTAAATATCCACCCAGTATCCAACCTCATTTTATATTTGATTGGCTGATACCAAGGTTAAACCCCATTAGTATCATTTGAATAAGGTAATGAAGATATATTCTAATAAAGTTTAGGTTAAAGTCACAGTTTGATCTAATCTTTCATAGTTATTTTTAAGGTGCCTACGATCATTACATTTATGAACTAGACAATTACCTTTTCCTAGTTTCTAAATCTTCAACGATCATTTTGTTGAAGAGCCAGTCTGCGCTATATTCGCCAGAATTATCATGCCAGATTCTTAGAAACTGTAACTCATCTAACTGTATATCAGATGTCATAATGAACGTCATTACACTTCCGGTTTCAAGATGCTGCAAAAATACAACAAATATACATAACACGGATTCTGCGTAGATTTTAGTTCATCTATAATGCGAATTCTTGTTTTGAGCGGCATTTTATCAAAAATCATATATATAGAACCACAATTTTCCATGAATACATTAATTATGTACCTTAGACCTAAACATTGGTGTCTGGCAAATGAAACGTAATTCAAGTAAGTGGAGCAGAAAAGGTAGAAAACATCATTGGCAAGACATTTAAAAATTTATAAAACGGGATTGGGAGCAGTGCACGCCTCCGCTTTTAATGATATTCCATCCATTCTTAAACCGTTACAATTTGTCTTCGTTTAAAAATAGGGTAACAAGGTAACGATCATACTTGCGCAGTAGCAACACAACGCTTAATAAAATTTCATTCATAACATATAGCACTTTTTCTTCGTAACCGAGTCTTACCCTCTCTCCATCGCTTAAAACCCTGACACCAGAATCTGCCTTCTGACTGCTCAGTATAAAATATACATTAGATCTAGTACCAGAATGTTTTCTCAATCCAGTTTCAACAGTTAACAGGTAGAAATATTCATCATCTTTATGGTTGTCCTTCAAGTATCCCACCTGCCACTAAAATTAATATAATATACTGTAAGAGAAATCACTTCCACCGATCCAAATTATCTGCAGATATCTGTGATTGCCCAGTAGAGTGCTGAATATTAGACTGGCATTGAAAGTCAAGAAAGCTGGGGTAAAGATCTGGCACATGGCTTCACTCAAGGATCATCGCATTTCCATTTCTAAATCAACGCCTATATAACCAATGTTACCTGTGACAGTAGTTGTCTTTCTGATAATGGGAGCATGTACCCGAATCTGACGAATAATTCAAACAATAAGTCACTACAAGTTCTATTTAGCGCTGGTTAACCAAAAGAGAAGGGTCACTGAAATATAATGTTCGATAAGGGCGCCATAATCTAGTATCTATTTTTCAGGAATTACTGATAATTTTATTGTTTGTACAAACCTTTCTATAGTCGCGTTTATCAGCTCGTCTGGCCCACAACAATAGCAAAATATACACTAACAGAATAGCTAACACTGTTCCATAAACAGACGCATTGGAGATGTCAAACTTCTCGAAGACAGTAGAAAAGTCAATAGTATTAGGTGGAGAATAAAATGAACTTCCAAATGTTAATGCTGGAGGATCTTCACAGTCACATATGGTTTCTTCTGGTGTAGAATATGGCGATACCTGAAAAGTTTGTATATTGACATCAGGTGCTATACTTTGATAACTGCTAACCTTGTTGCGGTAAGGGTAGCACTTATATAGTAAGTAAATTCCCCTGATTGAACACGTTGCTTAATTGGCACCTGGACTAGGTATAAATAATATGGAATAAAACCGTATTTATTACGAGTTGGTATATTCTTAATCAGCAGGTTTTCAACATGAAGGTTTGATTTTAATGGTATTGCAAGACTCACAGACGTCTTTTGAATGGTGAAAATCAGTGCTATCAGTGTTCCTGATACACATAAAAAGTTTAGGAAACATCTTTACAATCCCTTTAATTAACAAATAGATCTATTTTGGTGCACCAATGCCAATCTATGGACCAGCCTACACAGTGGTGATATTTACAGCTTTATGAAACTAGCAAAAACTAGTGGTACGGCATATACATAACATTTTCAAAAAACTGATAGGAAGAAATGAAGGCTTGGTATATTTTGTACCTTACAAGATGTGTCGTCCCAATATTCTCTTTCTCTAATCCACACCTTACAGCCATCTGTTCCTGCTACTAGATTATAGCTAGTTGTAGTCTCGTTCACTCCTATAATAATATACATTATAGAAGATCAAAACAAGGACGCAGTCGGATTGAGAAATGGTGAGTTCCGGTTCCAAAATTTGAAGATGAAATGAAAATTGAAAAATAATGATAAAGTTACAGTCATGAGTTAAAAACGAACCTCGTTGAATCAGCGTTTTTGTCGTTATTTTTAGAACCATATGATGAATATCAAAATGAACAAAGTTCCAATATTCAGATGAAAATTAAACTGCCCTAAAGTAGCTCAAAATATTACCTTTTTCATTAAATGAGACGCTTCGTCTTCTTCTAGAATTAGCTTCCGGATCGTCAGGATCAGGCTCTGAAATAGTTGAATGAAAAGGGATGTCAATTGTACGTCTCAGGGGCAGTATTTTGACTCTCTTCTGTGACCATGAGCACTTACATCTTCTGAAGCCACTCTTCGGAGAAGAACGCAGATTTTGTGCAGCAATGAATAATGATTCTTCATAAAAATCAGCATATCCGGATCATGTAGCTCATGAAGCTTAGCAACTGTGCTGTATCGCTTTACAATATCCTAATATAATACAAAATGGGCCCCAAAAAGCACTGCCAGATACGCAAATGGTTGAATCCCTTTTCAATATCCTATATCAATAAAAAAAAATATACCTTCTTCGTCAAACAGGAGTCCAACAACAACTTTCCCCTTCTTTAAAGTATGGGCTGGTACAAGCAGCTTGAAGATTCGTTCCCCGTTTACTTCTTCAGCAGCCACATTGATCTTATAGTCATAGTGTTTTAACTTAGGAGTTTTATCAACTCGAAAGTATGCCTTTACATTGGTGGTCTCATTGGATGCCTTGATAACCATAAAAGAATAATCTGCAGTGTCTCGCAATAAGAAAGTATGGTAATGCATTCCGTATGGACCCTTCAAGGTCTCATTGACATTGAAAGTCTGGTACTTCGGTGGCGATTTTGTCTTCAGTTTAAGTGAAATAGGCATTTTGTTAGCAACTGTTCCATTAGGTGCTTTCAGTTTCAACGAAACAATTGGTGAGTCAATACCATAAGATGTTCCATTGGATCCCCAGGAAAATGGATTCTTCTTAAAAACTGTAGCCTGCAGAAAATAATATGTTTATAATAGCTTTAGACCCATGTGCGTGGAAGATGGAAAGGAGCTCGGAGTCGTTCTTCGCCAGACATCACAACCTTTCACAAATTTTCGGGTAAACCAGCCCGAACAGTGTTCGACCCGTAAATCAATGTGTAGACCCCCTATTGGTACCCCCTCGCTAAGGAAATCATCCAATATAAATGTTGAAATTGACATTGGTGCAAATAATATGTCAAGCGGAAGTAACAAGTCTATTTTTGTGGTATGCTATCATCCCGTGGGTGCACGTTCGTTATGCTTGATTTATAAGGTAAAGTTTTGATGTATAGTAATATAGAATAATTATTGTTCTTTGTTATCATTTATGATGATGATATTGATCTGAATTATTTAAACGTTAAAGGTGATGTAAAGAATAAAAATATGTGTATCGGGGACAATGATAGCGTCAATGTAGACCAAATTTTCAATCAGACGGCTGTGGTTTCTGCAATTCCACTAAAACTAAGTGTTTGGTGATGCATATCGCAAAGGGAGAAACAAGCATATTTTGCGATTAGTGAGTTCATAAAACGCATAGTTTTAGTGGTACTGCAGTTACCACAGACGTCTGATTGGAATTTGGAATGGTGTATTTGATGCTATCAGTGTTCCCGGTACACATACCAATTTTAGAAAACGTTTTTACATTCCCTTTAAGGTCAATGACATCGATTGAAAGCCGATGACTCAATATTAAGTTGACAATTGACTTAAGGGACTGACTTGTCCACCAGAAGAATCATCGGCCTATTTCTATTCTATTCTATTCTATAAACATAACAACAACAAAAACAAAAACCAATAATAGGTCGAAGAATGACCTCAGAGGACAATGTTGTCCAACAATAAAGTCAATGACCTTTTAGGGGGAAATAAATTTACCTAATAACGGTCAAATAATTGTTGATATAATAAAATAATTCTTTGGAAAAAAGATGATATTATTCTCCTGTCGTTTAAATTGACAAAGATCTAAAATTAGAAGCAGGCCATGCCTACCCTTATCGAAACACCTGATGGTACTACTGTTTAGAAGAGTCTACTACTTTACAATGATTACTTCCGATGTCATGCTTTGAACTTTTTTTTGGTAATAATGGAATTGTTTTATTTGTACGGATTTTGATTAACTATTATCAGACTGATAAATATTTAATTAAAAGACAAACGAAGAACAGACCTGAATATCTACTGGTTCACTACGATTTAATCCACCAGTAGTATTTGCAGCTGGTAGATTCAGTGTGAAGTCACCAGCTTTTATATCCTGTCTAGCCAGTTCATTGGGACTGAGCTTCTGTGCCCGTAAGACGATATTGCCTCTCTCTATTGTCTTGGGTGCTTGTCCACTTACTAGACTCTTAGTTAAAGCATCGTGACTTCTCTCAAGACTGTCCTCCATTCCACTTATTAACTGTCGACTCTGAAAACGAATTTCAAATTAGACAAAAGACAGAAAATATAATTCATTATTAACCTTATTTACTCATAATAACTCTGAATAATGTTATCTATAATAGACCTTATTACGTGGAGTTCATGAAGATTCTTCTTCAGCAAAGGTGTCTTGTATTGCCAGTGATTTTCGCTGTGACAAAGATCAGGTGGTCGTCAACATACCTCTGTAGACATTTTCGTCAGGTACAAGTGTTGGATGTATAAAGTTTCAGTTTGCAACAAAACCTTTATCCCGTTTTGCAACACACATTTCGCAGAAAAACAGATCTTTAAAACTAGTTATTGCAAAAATCGTTTCTTACTGCGTTCTTTTTCTTCTCTACTTCTAAATTTTGTATGGTAGCAATTCTCTGAGCTATAAAGGCTGCCTCATTTGGAGACACTTCGCTGCCACCGATACCAGTTTGTGAAACCAGTTCTCGAACGGACGCGGTTGTTATTTCTGCCACCTTGCCCTCCAGATCTGGTGTAACTGCATTTATCACTTTGTCCATCATACCAGTCATTCCTGGAAAACAGTTCGAGATACAGTCGACATTGGGAGATATCTATCAGTATCAGTCCACCTTGAATCATCAAGGTGTCACGTCTTCATTTTTTACCTTGACTGCAGTGATCAAGGTTCTTATTTCACGTTCATCGTGATTGGACAGTACGCAAGTGAATACAACCAATGACAGCCCTCTATTTGATGCGTAATTATTTTTACAATCATTCTGTCGAGGGCTGCTCAGATTAGCTGTTTTTGCTAGCGTACAATCCAATCAAATTGCAGCATTCATAAACTTCCGTGAACCAGGAAGTGGGCCATTGCAGGATTGCTTTGACTTTGATAAAACAATAAAAAAATCATTTTGCTATGTGCGGAACATCAACATAAACCCTTTGATATTTGATCTGTTCTGGATATTAAAAAAAAACATTCTAAAAGCTTCACTGTAAAAAAAATCATTTTAGATAGTTTCCAATATATAGCTCATTAGCCTTTCATAAGTGCATTAACATGTACCATTCTGAGTATACGATTGAATATCGATTTTTATAGGCCAATGGCATTCTCAATTGAATTATGCTTGGGGAAAGTCTTCAAATGGCCATCTATAAAAGTACTATATCAATTAGATGTAATTAAATTCAGATTGAAAGGAGTGACGTAAATTCATAGAAATATTCAGCAAAAAAATTCTAGAAAAATTAAGCAACATTACTTTACCATTAACGACTTCATCTATCTTCTCTTTAACAGGAAATGGGCGCTTATTTAACAACCCATTCAGACGATCTGACGCACTGAATGTTACGTCTGCCCCTTGTAACTGGAATATAGGCAAAAACATTCAATCTACAGGCATGGGTATCCCGTTTGTCAACACAGCAACAGGAGCCCGGAATTATACCAGAGAACATTAAGTATCTAATGTTCCCAGCACTGTTCTTTCATATTGCTTTACAATTCTGGTACCACCTCCTAATCACCACAACCCCGTCCCCTTCCCATACTGATTAAAAGTTGGTATATTTTTGAAGGAAGCTTATAGGTAGACCTGTCGAACGGTGAGCAACTGGTGTCATCTATGAAAATCTGATCAATCGGTGAATCTAGTGGACGTTGGGGTTGACATGCTCTGCTGGAACTATTCAGTTGATCGCAGAGGCTAGAAGCTCGTCAATTTCTTAAAAATTCGTTGACTGTGGGGTTTCCAAAGCGATGCTATTAATCACTGAAGTCAGCTTATACGCATCTCTTAATAACAATTTAACCTCTTACCGCTGTATCTAATGTAGTACTCTCAGGGTTAGCCATGATGTTTGTTAAACATTCAGAAACAATCGTAACCCCCTGGCCATTTAAATCTGTAAATGATTCCTTTCTACCTTTCATCACTGCTACAAAATCCTGGCCTTTCTGAAATTATATAACACGAAAAACTAAGTCATAAAACACTGCGAATATACATGAATATGAAAATAAAAACTAAAACAGGGAAGTGTTGCAAACCTCACATGCTAGTTTTAGAAAATGAACTGATAATAGAAAAGGAAAGAAACATGAAAATTTGTATGGATCCTATTAACCAGGTGGGTTTTATTTTATCTCATGTAAACCTGGGTCGTTGCAAGGAAACAAACATACCTCGGCCACAGCTTTTTGTGTTGTCAGATCTCTCGGTCTTTTAAAATCATTCCACAATTCTAACCAGTCTGGCTGGACCTGACTTATACCACCAGTAGCATCTATTAACAAGGGATCTTGTGGTAAAGGCTGAAACATAGAGAAGGCATGTATATCAGTATAGATGTTGTTTTATTGTCAACAAAAACAACGGAATGATGGTTTAAGAACTCATCTCATGCTGTCGACAAAGGCTTAGGATAAGTAATCCCCTATTTATGGGCCTTTGCGGTCTTTGTTTTGGAATTACAAGAGCCACAACAGTATGGCTGAAAATTAGAATGGCACAAATCGATGCTATCAGCCATTCCAATGCATATAAAAAGTTTAGAAATCTCTGTCCGATCTTTTTAATTTTGATAAAGGAAGTTTTCTGTGGTATGACATGAACTTAATGTGATGATTTACTTACAACAGACTGAACGGCTGCTACTACACTATTGACAGTTCTCGAGAACCTGACAGTGCTACTGGTACCACTAGCTTCTGATAGATCTGTTGATTTAGCACTAATCAAATCATCTACTTTTTCCGCTCCTGACACATTAGGCATACTTGCTAATGGCGAAGTTAACTTGAAAAATGAAATTATCAAATAATTCATAAACTATTTTTATTTTTCAAATTCTTTGATAAGAATGCTTAGTCGCAATAGAGTAACTACATCAATCTGGTCGCGTCTTCTCGAAACGATCTTAGCGCTAGGATGGTGTTAACTTATAGCATTGTTTAGGATATCCTAGCAGTAAGATCGTTTCGAGAATATGTGGCCAGGTTGGACATGTCCCTTGTCTGAATAAAAAAAAAGCATGCTTGATTCGTACACAAGTACAATAGACAAGACAGGACCATTTCCTTGTCTATTGGACCTCATTCTGACCCATGTAAAAAATTATTATTATTATTATAAAAAGAGGATGGTAACTTCGCCGTCAGGGCGCTCTTTTATAGTTTTTAAACGAGGCAGATTTCAGTCTGAAAAGGTTTGGCGGTCTGTAAGCATTAATATCACTCGTATTATATATTTGGAAAAAAATCTTCAAGAGAACAGTATTCTACTAGGGTCTATCGTGGGATTTGAATTTTTATTTGTAATGCTATATTCAATAAGGGATATCATTTTATCATTTACATTTCATTTCACTTCGATATATACAGTGTTACAATGCATATATTAATGCAAATAGAGACGATAAAATACAAAAGTATTTCTATCAGACGGAATGAATTTGAAAAAAATCATTCAAGAGTACTTGATCTGTCGTGTCGTGGGATTTGAATTTTTATTTGTAATTTTTATATTCAATAAGGTTTATTATCTTATCTATTGAATAATATACATTTCATTTTGATATATAAATTCTGATAATCAATATTAATTGACATATTAATGCAATATAGAAGACAAATTACAAAAATTACGTCAAAAGACCGTGATCAAACAGTTGTATATTTATCCGATCCTTTTCATTTTCGCTACTAGTATTTATTCAAGCGATTGCCAGTTATTGATGATGTTTTATCAGATTTGTAAGACAATAGACCGGATAAAGCATATTAATTATCAGTTTACTGTTTCGGTTGTTGAACAATGAAAATGATAAATCATCTTGCTATAAACCACGTCAGTGTATCAATTTAAACGCCGTGCTATGAGGGAAATTTTGCCAGGACAGCGGCATTAGCCTGCTCTTTTTCGATTTCCAACTGTCGAGGGATCTTAAACAGCCTGTAGCACACGGGGCCTCGCTTTATTGTCCCATCCGAACGACTAGACGCTTTTTCCATGCCAGTCCCTTTTTCCTGCATTACTTACAGGGGGAAACTATGTTAAAAAATCCGAAGGTATTATCTCGACCTATGCCGGGATTGAACCCTGTTGAACCATGATTGATAAACGATGTGTCTACCGCCACAATTCACTAACATGTAATTACAGACGGCATATCATAGTTGTTTATTGATTTATACAGTTTCAATTTCCATACATTTATCAGTAGACTACTCCACTTGTCATCCGTGATCTGACGGAATTCTTATACATCTCATATTCTTGGCCAATGTACAAGCAAATACTGCCGATATCCCCTCAATATATCAAAGTCCGAGAAATGGGTAGAGCGGGAATTGTCGGGTTAACTACTTACAGTTATATTAAGTGTAACTTCAGTATAATCTTGTAGGATATCAAACACTCGGATAATAATACTATAGTCAGTACCATTTAATTCTGGAAATAACGGTAAATCCATCTCTGGCGAGGTACTTTCTCCTACAATACGTGTACAAATATTGCAATACATTATGAATTACACTGTTAATAAGTCAACGGGCATCAGTTTCAAGAACAAAATAAAGCCTGTTTATATTAGTGTCCACAGAAATTTTAATCACGAGAAACGACGTCATCTGTCGGTATATTGCATACACAAAGCTATTTGGGTGTTTGATCGTTAGCCTGTTGGTTCTGATCCAGATAAAAGTAAAGTTGCTACCTTCAAACTTTTGGCTTCGGATCTGCAGTTCCTTGTGCTGTAAGCTGTGCAAGGTATCGATCACTCGACAGTGGTGAAAGGGTAAATAAAATTAATGCCACTATGACGTTAGAATCCACTGAACTCTGCGAAGCGTTGAACAAATGCAATTTCAAATGCATGTAACCTTATCAGATACGGAAAATCTGAACATTAAACTCCATTTCATTCCATGAGATAATATTTATTCCCTACCTCCAGCCATCAACGGCACCAAATGATTTTCTTTTCCAATCAAATATTTAAAAGTAAAGGGTTCGTGTTTGTCCAAGACTGGATTATAACCATTCCTATATCCTTCGTCCTTCCAATTATCACAAAATACCCGGAACTTTGTCTGTGTAGCAACGCCTAAATGTAGATATTATACAAATAGTTTGCGTAACGTGGATTGGAACTTGTAGAGCTTTAACTAAGAAATATATTTCAAAATAAGGCAGAAATTTATGGCCTCTGAAAAGAACCAAAGATTTGCATAACCACAATGAAACTGATTAGAGTGGTAGAAATGTATGGTTCCTGGGAGGGTCCGAAACGACCTTTATCTAAAATAAGAAACTTGTGTTGATCAACGACAAAATTCTAGTAACATCAGTTAACAATAAATCCCGTTTCTAAACACTGTACGATTCAAGACATCTGTCTTAAAAAAAAGTCTACCAGATAAAAATAAATCAAATATTTACCCGAGGTAGGGTCCACGGTACATGTACCACCGTATGGAGGTAAATTGGTCACTACTCTAAATGAGCTGAATCCGGGAGTTTCAAATCCTGGTAAGATAACTTCTACTGATATGAGATATACCTTTCCCGGTTCTATAAAACCCTTCTTTAACACGAACGTTGACGGGTTTTCACCTGAAATAAGGAAGAAAACGACTAACAGATATATTTCAACAGGAAATGCAATATCAACGCAATAGCAAGATAAGGTAAGCAGATATTATTTAATTATATACAAACTAGACGTCGGATTATCAATCTGAAAAGGCAGTCGTAAAGCTCTATCTTTCTACAACACAATCATTAGTGGGACTTAGAAAGTTGTAAAACATCTTAAAACACCAGTGTCATACCGGTATTACTCGGTGGTTCTTCGAAATATCTTTTTATCTGAACCAAGGGCAGCAATCCGACAAGTTCAAAAAGTATCAATGTTATCAAAATTATACCAAGTTTTCGTTACTTTTTTTATTGGCTTTTATTTTTTGATATTTGACGAACGTTCACGAGGGTTGTCGTTAGACCCTGAATGAAGTGGCTATGTAAAAAATAAGTTTGACCTAATTTCAATTAGACCAACAAAGTATAAAACTTACTTTGATTGTTACCTGTAAACGTAAAGGTACGTATCCGACTGAACACAAAGTAACGTGCACACCTGGGACCTATTCCACAATTTTTTTTAAGAATTTGTAAGTATAAAACTGTTGCTTTGAGAAATACCAAATTTACAAAAAAATTGATTCTAATATTTTCTTGGAACGGAACCTCCGTGCTTTAATAACCTTACCTGTATCAATCACATTCTCTTCAAAGTTTTCTACAACTGAGAAATTTGCCTGTTCTGTGGATTCCTCTGGTACCAAATGGACCATGTTCCAGGTGTACTGAGCTTCCAACAGATCTGTTTCTAAGCATGATGGACAATACACTACTAGTGATAGATCTGATGATACAGCTGTTTTTATCTCGCAATTGATTATACATCTAGAAATTAGACCATTGACAGGTAGAGGTTATAAAATAACAGAATACAATATTATGATATACTACTCTTGAGTTGTTTTGCCTTTTATTTCATTTATTAAATATTCTGTTCTTTGCATTCTACTCGGTTAATGGAATGAAGCTTGAAATTTGTACATCGTTGACACCTTTGAACGTTTAAATATACTACACTAAGCTACATTATCAAGTTAATCTTTACTAAGATATTGCAAAAGATAAATTGTCAGGCAAGATAATATGCGTTCACGGCAGCAGTTCAGAAAAAATGTGGTTTTGTTTCAGTGCCACAAAAGCATTAAAATTCATTGAACCGTTGTCAACGTCAAAAGCACAGTCTGATACTGTCAATCCGCAACACTGATTCATCCAAATGGGTTTAAAACTCGCGCTTCTATTAAGCTAACAAGCCAAATATGTCGCACTTTCATTAAGTCAAGGGAAAAATTCTAATATTATTTATCGAAACACTTCTCACCCGAGATCTCAATAAGCTATATAAACATACACATTTTATCAAAATCAAATGAAATCTCTAGCTCCTATATTAAGCTTCAAAAAATGTTGACGGACGGGCGGACGGACGGATGGATAGATGCGACCGCAGTATAGGTATAAAAATTCCATCTTACTTTATATCTATCTTTGGAGTTCCTCCTTCAACTTGGAAGAGTTGAGTAAAAGTATCAGAGTTACGATCTGGTTTGGTAACTGTCAATACGAAAACAAACCCTTCTGGTGAAGTTAGTGCTGATGCATCAAAACTAAGGATTCCTCGGCCAGCAGCTGTGGTTATATTGCTGCATGGGACCGAGATAGATTCATTGTGGTAAATGGCTTGGAGTTCATTAAATGTTGATGACGCTACTCGAGAACACTGCCAAGAAAACTCAATATCAGGATCTTCATTGCCTATCTCAATTAACGGATCGTACGACTGTTCAAAACCGTTTATTTCGTGTTCGTAGTATCCTCCGGTTACTGTGAACCCACCAACAATGTCAGCTCGTAAAGGTGGCTCAAGAAACGCAATATATGTGGATTCTTCAAAGTATCTTGTATGGGTTGTAAAACTAACTCTGAAATTCAGTCGATACCATCCCCGTGGTATGGAGCCGATGGGAAATTGAATGGAATCTCCACCAGGTTGCTGTATAGGATAAACCTCTTCCCATTCATCAGGATTCGGAAATGGCTCTGATGTTATATTACGAAGTTTATACATAGACCACAGATAGTAAGGACCCTGGTTGATGCAAACAACAGTCAAACGGCTAGTTATTTCCTGGACATCCGAGGTATATAAACCTAGTGGCCTCGTATGATTAGAATATTGCCGATCGAATACGCCATTTTTCGTTACACAGTTATTGATGACCTTTACAAGAAAATTCCCCGCTTGTGATGTCAACTTTTTCTCGCATTTCCAATGTACTCGATGTTGCCCTAAGGTTCTGTAATGATACTCGAATATCAGAGGGTTGTTGACGGTTTGATTGTGTATGAAAATATGCAAACCTTTATCAATATCATCACCGAAACGAAACGAGCATTTCATATAATAAAGCCTTGGAGTACCCGCTGGTACGTTCATCTGAAAGGACAGATCTCCCGGTGGAAAGTTGATATTCCCGTCGAATGCCGGCTGTAGCTTGTTATTTATATCATTTTCTATTATCAGTGGGTTAGGCAAGGCCACGTGTTCAATGAACGAGCCGTTTTCGCCTGTAACAAGGGGGTAATAATAATCATCTAAAGGATAATAATGGTTTTTTGTTGGAATAGCTTCTGTAGTAATAGCAATTGTTTCCCCATCACCATAGTCTAGAGTAATAGGCAGAGTGGTCGGATTGTCACTCAAAGGTGTAACAAACGCTATTGTAAAGGATATCGCAGTATTGACAAAATCAACGTCTTTATTAACAGACAGTTTTATCACTCCCACTTGTTGCTCAAAAGTATAAATTCTTTCACTTCCTAAAGCGGTGATAGACAGCTGGCCGACGTAGAGTCCTCTTGTGGCGTATCTATGTACTGTTATCCAGTCGGTTAGAACCGTGTCCTCGATGATGCCATCCCCAAAATCCCAGGATAGCTGCACATTAGAGGGTACGGCCTCAATATCGGATAATAGTATGGTAAACGGTACATCTCCGTAAACGGTATAGTTCACCGAGAACGGCGAAGTATAAAGTAAATTAAAATCGTTTATAGTATACGTTTTCACCAAAATGTATGACACCACATTAAAAGGGAAATCATCACATGTTGCAGTTACGCTCTGATTTCCGACTGTGGTAAAGAGCTTTGTAAACGGTATAGGGTTCTGATCCCCCGACTCTCTATAAAGATCCAGGCTACTGCCATCACCAAAGTATATCGTACAGTTTGTTTCAGAACTTATAGAAGAGTTCAGTTTAAATGGAACTTCAGTGTTTTGTGCTACTGTAAGATTTGATGGTTGAAGGTCGAGGTATCCTGCACCAGTACAGATCTCATAGTACAAACCTTTAAAATAACAAAATTATCATTAACATTAACTAACGATAGAACAAAGTGATGAAAATATATCAAATTTAATTCTGATTGAATAATAATAATGTATAACATAAATATGAAATTGGTATAAACGAGTCACCAAATTCGCAAAAACTTTGGAAATATAAAACTATATGTAGTTTGATAATTTGTTTAACAAGACTTAAAACTTTCAAATTTGCTTGCAATTTTAGTCATTTGTGTATAAAAAGAAAGTTGATCCAAAAAGATCCAAAAAGATCCAAAAAGAATCACTTGAACTACAGAACACACGATGAGCTTCATTCTCGGAAATAAAATGGAATGCCAAGTCTATGAATTTTATTTGGCATCTTTCCTGATTATACTGTGATAATTTCAGACTATAATAATCATTATAAAACGTATAATACTAGATTATGAATAATGAAATATCTTGAAACTATTAAAGATATAAAAATATTGTATTCTGATAAGAACTCTCGATAAAAGATGCCAAGGCTTTGTATCTCATGTAGTTCTGATCAGTCATGCAGGCTATATTCTCTGACAAGACCAAGATTGCTGAGAAAGTTTTATAGTGGGGAAAAGAGGTAATTAATGCAATCGATCAAGGGTCCTGAAAGGGGTAATAGAAAGAAAAAGGTTGAAAACCCCTGAATGAAGTTAACTCTTATAATTCTGGTATGACACACATGATATATCCCAGATATTGTGAATGAAAATCAGGTGATTCTTAATAAGAGTACCATAAGTATCAATGAATATCGGATTCCAGGGTACATACTTGAAGGACAATAAACATGCCTCGAAAAACAAGGACAAAATCGCACATTAGATATTTCCGATTATTTAGAATTTCGTTTGAAAAAGCACTGTAGCGAATTCTAAAAACGCTTGAATAGACTCCGTATTCAGAATTTTTTTTATGATTTGTTGATGTCAATCGCTTTGTTCATTACCTATATTTAAAACGCTTTTTAACCTTTGCTAAGTGGAAACATGGTCTGGCAGTCCATTGTGGTCTTTGCTAAGGCCCTTAAGAGGCCAAAAAAACATTCTGGATAAGGTCTTCAGGAAGGTTTTAAAACCGCTGGACATTTGCGATTTAAAAAAGGCCTTTGACTGAATGTATAGAAATGTAGTTATACTGTAATTATACGACTAAAGAACGCCCTGTGGACAAGGGTCTGTGTACAAATTCAAGTTTTCAATTCTGTTCAATTCAATCGGTTGAATTTTTAATTATTCCTTTAAAAAAAATTTTTAACATTAATCCTAATATAAATTTGTAAATATCTCGAATTTTTCCAAAAAAAAAATAGTCGGCTAATGAGCCTTTGTATAATATACATTAACAAAATTCTACTTACCAGTTGAAATAAGTGCGATTAACCAATTTCTCCACATTTTTAGTCCGATTTTTGCGATTGGTGTTCACGATAATCAAGAGCAATCTTTAGAAGTGGATATTAATACATGATTCACCAAAACCATAGACATATAAGTCACCGGTAACATTGTCAAAATATCACCATCATAGTCCAAAGTATTAAAATTGCGGTATAAAATGTGCAAAAAATATTACGGCGGCCCAGAATATGTTTTTACAGTATTAGAACTTCTGTTTTTTTGTGGACTGAAGGACTATTAATTCCAGTTTTACTCTATTACTAGTAAAACTATTTCAAGACTTCAATATTGCTGGTAAAGTAAAGTCACAAATGTCATTTCAAATTTTTCGTAAATTTCCACTTTCAAGGTAATGTGACAAGATTGTTGTTAAAAACAGTTCCAGGATATTCAAATGATCACTACGAATAAAAACTAAGCCACTCTCGGATGCTGAAGAAATTTCCAAGGTACCAAAACATTAATGTAATAAAATGAAGCAAAATATCACTTTTAGTTTAAGATGTTGAAAATATTTCCAAGATACCAAAACTGAAAAATTATGATTACAGACGTTTGTTGATGGCGATAACTACAAACCGAATAAACTGAGTCTCATTATATTATTATGATCGTCCAAGAAGGCGCTTCTCATTTACTGTTCGCTATATATTCATTTATAAATTATCATGACTACGAAAATACACAAGTTGATTTATTATCAGAGGAATTGAATCTTTTTCAAGTTGGTGCTCATTGTTGGGCGGTTCTGACTCGATGTCATTCAAACCGCATTGGGATAGTTAGTTCCCGTAAATAACCAAGCAGAATAGGCCATGCTTCAATTCTCTTTAAGCTTCTATTCAATCAATGTACAAAACAATGACTTTGTGAATAAAACATATTTATTTATTTCTTATTTGAAAGCAAACTGTAGTCGTTTTTAATAAACAATCCGACAAATGATCGGTGGTCTTTATTTATCAAGAAACACAATCTATTTATTATTAATGATAAATTGTTATTTGTGAAACTACTCTAGCCTTAAGATATTGTCCAACTGGGGGCGATTCCACTATGTTTTTTTTAATAATGTTCTATCCAAGGTAACTGTTATAGTACAGATGGACCCGCAAATCAGTTTCTAAATGAAACAAATGAGATAGATATTCCGGCCTTTTCGAAAATACCGAAGTTTCGATGAATCTTTTCATAGTAGCACAATAGTGTGGGTTTCATCCGATTTGATTTAAACTTGTTATGTTGATGATGTAGATTGCACTTCCTAGTTGACGATATAGGAACGGCTTTTATGTACTTATTCACGACTTAGTGCGTCAAAACTTGTTTGTTGGTTCATCTGACTTGATGAAACTGGAAATATTGCTATATGGATTTATAATTGGAGATAAATCTTGTTGGCTTCAATCATTTAACATTTCTATTATTTCTATATATTTTGACTCTCTTTTAAACCTTTCTGTTCCGTTCACAAACCGTATTTTCTTAACATGTCGTGAATTTAATTTTTCTGAAAAGTTCAAAGTTTACGATGACATATGAATTCCATTGAAAGTCTAAGTTTATGCTTTTTGGACCACGATAAAAATTGAAACATTTGGCGTGGGCGTACATTACCTAATAGTAGATGCTCTTATGTCAGAATTTCACTTTGAAAAATGATACAATCATCTGAAATTAAGTTCTAGAAGCAAGTAAAGTAGATGGATATAATAAAGAACTCAAGGGGTATATTATGGTATAACTCACTTCTTTAATAACAAAGCACATAATGTTTCAACACAATTAACACGTGTCGTCATCAGATGAAATGAAAGAAGAAGTAGATGGATTTTGGTTTTCCCGGCCAATTGACGAATCTGACTGAAATGTAGATCTATATGTTTCATTTCTTGTTTTTATCTGTTACAATGGCCATTACCGATAATCACCCAAAATCTAGTTCTATAATTTAATCAGATTTCCATCTGACTAACATTTTATAATCCATTGCCATGGGATAAGTTTTCCTGTTGATAAAATCCAATTAAATTGAGAAAGTTCATTAAAGTATAAAATTTTTAATGCAATAATTTATATTTGACATCTTTTACAATATCAATAATTCCATTTACATCTTCTTATATTCATTAAACTTTACATAGTCACACAATCTTTGAAATTTCAGATGTAACAGATCATCATTTTCCAAAAATGGATCAAGTTTGGGTTTTATCTATTATTTATATAATTAATATTCATTTATCTTTTTCTCAGTCGCAAAAATTTCGGATGCTTCTGCAGTCATTTCTGAGATCAATCTGACTTTTACAATTTACATAAATAAGGCATGACAGACCTGAAATTTTTCATTGTTTTACTATAATTTTTGAATATTAAGATATAAAAATAAAAACAGTTATAACAATATTCAGGACAAAAATCTTAAAATAGCACTTGTTACATCAATATAATTATAATAATATAATCTACATACATAACAATTAAATGCTTTTATAAATCATTGAAAACAAATTATAGCTTGGATTGTTCTTGAAATAGTTGACCTAATTTCTGAGCCAACATAATATTCCCTTTAACTTTCAACTTACCACTCATAAACGCCTGAAAAATTAATAATTACATGCATTATATCATTTAGAATTTATAATTTGTTGTGACTGTAAGAAAATCAGAGCTTGATTCTTCTAATCTTATCTGAGGCTGACAAGGTAAACAGGTTAAAATAAACCCACTACCTTTGCTCCAAGGCTGTGCACTGTAAGCTTCTGAAAGAGCTTGAATATTTACTCATTAGTTGAATAACAAGCAGAATATAACAGGACATAAAACTCAAATTATTTCAACATGTGTATCAGTTACAGGGAAGCAGGTTTTGAATATGTTTGTCTTATGAAGGCTTATGAATATGTTACCTGAGGGGCAGCTAATTTTCCACTAACAATATCCATCAAATTATCATCTTCAACAGTTACAGTACAATCTGCTTTAGAAGCTTTAGGTTCACCAGTATATATAGCTCCTTCTTTACTAGATTTCATATCTACAGCTAGAATAAAAGTTGGGATAATGATAATAATGATGATGGTGATAATGATAATGATGATGATGATATTGATAATGATGATGATGATATTGATGATGATAATGATGATGATATTGATGATGATGATATTGATAATGATGAGATGATGATATTGATGATGATAATGATGATGATAATGATGAGATGATGATAATGATGATATTGATGGTGATGATGATGATGATAATGATGAAGTACTATTGAAATAATGTCATATCAGTGATGATATAATATCATGATAATATAATGAAGTGATATAAATAATGATAAGATAATGAACATCAATCAATAATGAAGTGATGATGATGAGATATCACTATGATGATATTTTCAATAACAATGTGATTTTAATAACTTTTCTTCATTTATTACAATAAAAGAAACAGGAATTTCATTGAAGCCAACTGCTATATCTATTATTCAAGCTTGTATTCTTTATACTTTATACTTACTCCATTGTACAGCTTGTTTACCATTTTGTAATATATTGAATACAAAGACAGCATTTATTTTAGCAGCCAATCCCTTACGATTTGGTAATTGTTGTATCATCTGTTCAAACATACTATTAGATTTTACTGTAGAAGACTAAAATATAAAATGAGAATTTCTTTTCATCAAATTTATTCTCAAATTTAAAAAAATTTCTTCAAGGGTCCCATTACATTTCATAGACCATAGTATTGCCTTTGACATCATTAAAAACAGGGGGGTATAAAAAGTGAATACTGTACCGTATTAGAAGATACAGGTTTAGAAGCTGTAACATTATCTTTTAAATCAACATAAGCACCTGATATACATATATTACCATTATCAACCACCTAGAAAACACAAATACTAAATGATTTATAATACTGTCACAAAGCCAAATATCAATCAATGAGTAATCAAGTGAAAATTGTTTATGGTATTTAAATCATATATGATTTAAGGTTATTTAAACTCTTGATATTTTGAAATATTTAGGTTAATAAGGGTAATTTTTGGAGAAAAAGAAAACTGGTGGAATAAGTCTACATAATAAGTTCCATCATATTTGGCATTGTGCATAGCGGGTTTATCCCAAACTTGCTCTCATTCATATACCATTTTTTGCACAACACCTGATACAGATTTTCATTATGAAACACTCCCTCTTACTGATATATTGCAAAATTAATATTTTGGATTCTGCAATTGGATCATTAGTACTTGTTTATGTAGTGAGGAGTAAGAAAGGGGTGTGCACTATACACGCTTGGGCATTATATTCTGAAATATACAGCAGTCATAAATCTAAGCTATTAAACTCTATGCACAAGTATCTAGTTCATTACTGGTTCACTAATGTATATCAACTAATATTATCCAATAATATTACCTTAGTTTGAAAGTATATTCTACTGCCATCTTTCCACATATCAGTCTGTAGAGTTTGACCAGGTAGAACAGGTTTAGAAAATCTCGCCTAAAATAGAAAACCAGGGACATATTTATTCTGATTGTGAACATACTTCTTATGTAAATATAACTGTGAGTGGGGATACCTTATACATGAGCTATTTATTTTGTCCCTGAAGCTATCTTGTGCTGATGTACTTGAAATTACAAGATAACCTTCTAGATATGTGATGTTTATCGTTCACATATTCTGATATTGGATAATTATTGTCCTATGAATGTGACAATGCCACCCAAACTTTCTTGATCATCATAATCTGGTGTTTACATGTGCCTAAGCTTGTGTATCAAAAAACAGGTGATTACATGTGGAATTGACAAGGGTCACCCCAGCATGATTGTGTATCATAATGCCAGTATATTGACCTCATTTTTCCTGTATGTGGGTGAGGGAAAGTGCAGGCAAACTTTAAATATGACTGATTAAAAAAAAACAAAAGGAATTATAAATGACCATTTCCAACTAACTGTATATATAATAACTCTCTTGGGCAGAATAAAATTTTTAATCACAAAACTTATTGTTATAAATATTTAGTTTGAGATTAACCGAAAAAAGATTTAAGTTAAAGGGATTGTAAAGATATTTTTCACATTTTCTATGTGTATCAGAGACACTGATTGCATCAATTTGCACCTTTCCAATTTACAATCAGATGTCTGTGGTTCTTGCAATTCACTGAAACTAAGTGTTTGATGACGTCACTTACTCACTTATCACGAAGGGCCTTTTGTGAAACAAGCATTTGCAATTAGTGATGTCATCAAACACATAGTTTTAGTAGAATTGGAGGAATCAAAGACATCTAATTGAAAATGAGAAAGGAGCAAATGATGCTATCAGTGTCCCAATACACAAAAAAAAATATAGAAATCCTCTTTACAATCCCTTTAAATTTAAGCCAATTTTGGTTAATCTCAAACTAAATTTTTATAACAGTAAGTTTTGAGATCGTAAAAGTTTTATTTTGCCCGAGAGAGTTATAATATTATACAGTTGTTTGGATATGGTCTATACAGAGATCTGACAACAATGTAACTCAGTGAACTAGAAATAATGCTTCTGTTTCAACATCTTTGAAGTAAATAATGACTGTTAAATATTTAGAGTAAAGATTTAACAAGTAGCTCCTTTACTGGTCCCGTGATTATGAGATATATAGCTGACTAGTAGACTCTTTTATCAAGTAATGTCACATAATGTTAATGTTATATGCTTTAAAGGGGCAGTATGCAAAATTCTATAAACTATTTACTTCTATGTAGTTAATAATCAACCTGAATGTTGTGAATACCATATTAAAAAACATCCGTGATTGGTCTTAAAGTTAAAACTTTCAGATAAGTTAAGGGACACAATTTTCTAGATTTTGGTGTTAAGTTTTCATAGTGTTTAGAATGCTTAGAGGTATATCTTTGTTAGTCTATTCTAAGATTATTGATTGATTGATTGATTATTGTTATATTCTGTATTTTTAATCAAATATTTTAATCTAAACTGATCTCTGCCCCCACAATCTAACACAAACGTTGTTAAATCACCCTAACTAATTAGAAAGTAAACTTGAAAAAAACAAGAAAGCTCATGGGAGAGTAAAGCACTTAGTTTATCCATATTGAATGAGTTACTGCATTCTTTAAAGAGCTTTAAGTCTCTTGGGCACAGCATCAGTATAGACTAGAATAACCTGACTTTTATTACAGTCCAATCAACTATGATGTATACATACAGCATACAATGCAACCTGTAGTGTGTCTTATTCAATATACAAATTGTAACCTCAGGACATACACTAAAGATGTTCGCTTATCATTTTATCAATTTTAATGCTATAAATATCTTAAAACTTAACGTTTTTCTTCACTTCCTCATTTAGTCATACTAATTTATTGTATTATCCCCTTGGACTGAATGTTAGACAGCACCGTGTCCTGGTGTATTGGACCATTGTAAAATAAAGAGTTGATCATTATCATTGGACCATTGTAAAATAAAGAGTTTATCATTATCATTATCATTGGACCATTGTAAAATAAAGAGTTTATCATTATCATTATCATTATCATTGGACCATTGTAAAATAAAGAGTTTATCATTATCATTATCATTGGACCATTGTAAAATAAAGAGTTTATCATTATCATTATCATTGGACCAT